ACAGCAGCCAACTGCAGTTGGCAAAACAGCTGATTATGGATGAAAAGGCACCACTTATTCACAGGTGAAGGATCCAAAGCTTATTTCTTTGCCAGCTGTTACAATCCAGTAAAAACACATCATGTTCAATGATGCTCTTTTTTTTTTTTTTTTCCAACAGAGATTTGTTGGCTGTGGGAGAAACTGAAGAAAAAGAAGGAAGCAATGGATGGGGCTGCTTGGCTCTCAGTATCTAAGGGGAGTGGGCAGGACCAGGAGGCAGCCAGCAGCTAAAACTGGTGAAGAAATAGTGGGCACAGCAGGAGAAAATCATCATCAGACAGTAATGAGGAGAGAAAGACAAAAAGAAAGAGCAGGATTATGGACCGTAACCCCTGCAGACCCACCAAGACCTCTGAGGACATGCAGCCATCATGTCAGCCCTGGCATGGGCAGGCAAAGCAGCTAATGCCTCCTTCTCCTTACTGCTCAGCCCTGCTGAGGCTGCGGCCACCTCAACCAGCAATCCTCTCCACCACTTCTCAACCCCCACGATGCTCATCTTCTCTTGAAATCTACCATAGATTTAGTCATCGAGCGCTTTTAGGTCAAAAGAGTCAGGATTTCCTTCCCAGGCTTGCAAATGCTGATCAGTATTGAGGCTGACTGAATTTCAAATTTCAGTATGTTGACTTAATGTCAATACAAAAAAAAAAAAAAATATAAAGTAGGCATTTCATAGATTCACAGAATAGTTTAGTTTGGAAAGGACCTCCAGAGGCCAGCTGGCCCAAACTCTGCCCAAAGTAGAGCCAACTTCCCAGTTGTATCATGTCCTCAGGCACCATCCAGCTGAGTTTTGAGGTTCCCCAAGGATGGAGTCTCCACAACCTCTCTCGCAACCAGGGTGTAAGCAGTCTCACAGTGAAATTTCCACGGCAGCTTCCTCATATTGTCCATCAGTTGACTAGAATGAGACTTTTTTTACAAAACTGAAACTCTGACAGTGTAGGGCACTATATGGTGAAGATTTAAAAGGATTTTCTTTCTAAAAGAAAATTTCTCGCTTTTTTTTTGTTTGAATCAGGCCATGATATCTACCAGTTATAGTTACTTCTTTTTAAAGCTTCCTTGCCTATGCAGCACAACATCTGCAAGGTCACCAATTTTTGAAACGACAATGCAGTGTCACAGAAAAGGTCAGCGCAGAAGATAACATGAAAAAAGCAAAGGAAGAGTAAAGAAGGCAAGGTAGGGTTTTCAGAGGCACCTAGGATACCGCAAATTCAAAGGGATCTCAGTACCACTATTTATTAGGCATAGGATTACTGCTGACCCCACTAGTGTCCGTATTTACAAGCAGATAAAAACTCATCTGATCCTCAAAGAGTTTCAAAGTGAAGGCAGCACCTACTGAGAGAAAGGTAAAAAGAACACTGTTTTGCTTCTGTCACACACGATAAATGAAGCAAAGGGAAATAACGAGCCCCAAGCTTATCACTCACAATTGCTGACAACTGCATGTTTAACTTGTCAACGTGGAAGTGATGCTACCAAGGCACCTGAACAACCCCGTTATTAACAACCAGCAGGAAACGGACCACTGCAGAGCACAGGAGCAGCAGCTGGCATTGACCATCAGGCAGTAATCCCCTCTATGCTGGATGCTTCTGAACTGGGACAACAGGAGCACTGGGCAGCAGACAGAAGGGGTGCTTTCCAGCAGCTTCCCATCACCAGGAGATGTATGTTCCAGCCACACCACCACCCCGTCCACCAAATGCCAAACACCACCCTCAGTCCGCGACAAGGACCTAATAAAAAGGAGGAAAGGTGAAACGCATGGTCTCCTTCCCTTAGTGTGAGTGGCTCTCACTTCAAAGGCGCTCCACCATCATGCTCCCCATTCCCCCTCCTCCCCCCGCAGTGATTTCTAAATACTAAAATGGCAGAGGTACCAAACTGACATGGTACAGGGAAGAACGCAGACTTTAAAAACTGAGTAGACCTGAAAGGCACGTTTTAAATGCTTCACCACAGGCTTTTTCCTGAGCTTTGCACACTAGTTAACCTAACAAGATGTACTTGCCCTAGAGAAGGAAGGACAACTACTTTAGATGCTCTGGCATCACGACTTTTTGCTGCTCTGTACGAATAAATGGCTTTTGCTTGCTGCAACCTGCAAGTTTTTAAGCAAAAATGCACAGAAACTACAAAATCTGTTTCCAAGAGGTTCTCCTAATGCCCTGTGACCACTGTCTGCTCCCTTCCAACTACCCTGCAAATTCCCAGTTTGAGTGGGGAAGATGCGCTCCATCCATTGTGGATGGTAAACGCACAAACCCCTACGCTGTGACCATGATAATTCATTTTTCCCCTTTTCAAAAACAGGATGTCACGAAGGCATCTGAAAAATTGTCTCCGGTCTCCCTCAGGTGTCACAATATTTCTGACCTGCTGATAAAACGGATACAGGGAGGAAAGACTGTCCCTCTGGCGCTGTGCCTGATTTGTGTGACCCCTGTGCCCATCACTCCTCTCTGCCTGAGGGAAGGACAAAAGCAAAATGGCTCGCGTGAAGCCGAAAATGTACAGGAGGAACAGGATTACCACTGCCAAAGCCCCCTCCTGCCCAGCTCCATGGGTGTCACGCAGGGCACGCTGCGCCCACTGGACCCCCCAGGGCTTGTAAGGAGCTGCTGGCTTCCTCCTCTGCCACCAAGGGCTTCACTCGCTCTGCCTGACTTCATGATTACCGTAAACTCCTGCAAAATCAGCACCTCAGCCTCCCAAACTGAGGCACCTGGACGCCACTCCCACAAGGTCTCCCATTTTGCTTGCAGATGAGGGTACTGGTAAAATGATAAAACAGCAACGCAAGAGTCCTTCGCACACCTCGTCCTGAAACAACCTGACACCTGAAACAAGAACTCCATGTCACATCCCACCCAGCAGCTTCTTAGCCAACAAAAGACCTTCACAGGCTACCAAAAAGAAAAGAAAATAAAGCAAGCATCAGAACATTTAAGCAGTATTCCTCACTGTAAGATCAGACTTTTCAGGAGGAAGCCTGTATTCTGACACCTGGTGAAGCCACCCTACAGGTCTGGCTGAACACGAAGCACCTTCTCCAGCTTCAGAGCCCACAGACAGACACTGTTGGCACTAAACCCATACCCAAGAGCACTTAACACTGCTTTCAACAGTCAAACCTACCAACATTAGCCAGGGTAGAACTTCATGCAGTGCAGTTGCTTTCCAGCCGAGCATGAATTTCTGTTGCTGCTCAGGTGCCGAAGAACAAAATTATGAACCCAACTTTTCCCAGGGTCTTCCAGGATCGTTCCGCTTCTGGTAAACAAAGTTGACCCTGTCTCAATTCTTGGCCTGGAATCACATCTCTCTGGAGATGAAGCCATGTATTTTAAATGTTGTCACCCACATACAGTTATTTAGTAAAATGCTTGAGAAGCAATGTATTTGAATTGCTCACACAGAAAAATTCACCTTAAGAAAGATGACTGCAAACCATTTACAATTGCTTCAATCAAAAATTTTCAAACAATTCCAATTACTTTAAAATTAGGCATTTTCATGTTTTTGAGTCTTCATACAAGCATGTGAATTGCCTTAAGCTTGTTTAATAATGCTTTTCATTAAAAGACCATAATTTAATTCAATTAATAAGAAATTATTAAAGTGGAATTAATAAATGAAATACCTCCACTGACATTTTAAAAACATTAAGATCAAAGCCTATGCAAATTTTGTTGACAGGACAACAATTTCATTTTTTGCCTCTCTGTATAAGCAAGGGTTTTCTTGTTCTCCTGAGTTACACACAATCTCTATACATTACTGAATATACTACTTTAATCTTTTCCATGTCTACAGACAAAGCATGCAGTAATCCAAATACGAAAGGAGTAACTGCATCGATTCAAAGGTGACACTTACATGACTGCAATAACGAAAACAAAAAAGCTAATAAAAAGCTATTTATTGTTTTATCAACCAGTTCTTCTAAAAGCTTCCCAAAGAAATTCCTCCACATTGGTGTGAAACTGCCTGCCTGCAATGGATGCAACAAATCCATCTGACATGGCTTTAAATGGCCTGCAGAACAGAGTGATGACATTTGACAGACGCACGCATGGGCTGTCCTTTTATTAGTCAATGCAAGGCACTGTCCACTACAGAAGCATCTTTTTAACTGGGAAGTACATTCACCTGTGTTATTGATATCAGCACAGACGATTAAAAAATGAAAGAAATTTCCTGCTTCTTTCCTCTATGTTTGTTTGCTTTTTTCTGCCTATACAACAGAAGTCAATTACGTTAGTTCCATTTTTATACATATTCAATTGCTGTATCTGTCAGGCATAAGCTCTGCATAGAAAAAAGCATTTTGCCTGGAGTCCTTGATTTAGCGCCTTTAAGTCCCAGTTGTGCTTAGCCATGGCTTTAGTGAACCTGCAGACAAATACTGTTTGGTTTTTGGTTGGGGGTTTTTTGTGTTGTTGTTGGTGTTTTGGTTTACCAGGGTTACACGCAGCACAGAAAGGTCTAGCAGAGTGGAAGTCGTTCATCACACCCAGCCACACAAAGCAGATGTACCACCACCCCCAGCCATGCCAGATAGGCTGGGTCAGTGACACTACCCACATACTTGGCTCCTACACAATGCTGAAAACTCCCCAGTTTTGAGGAAGATACGCAGGCAGCCAGCAGGCAGTTGCCAGGACTGCGTGGCAGGAGCAGACATTTTGGGAGAAAGGAGAAAAGCTCCTCATAAACCTCTACTTGCAGCTGTATGCCCTACCGAACTCAGTTGCAGCGCCAGTCTACGCCAAACTAATTTTGATTTTCAAGTAAAAATAATAATTTAAATATGGAAGACTGGTGCTGGGTCCATCCCAACCGTGCAACACAGTTCCTGGAGGGGGGACCCACCTGCATCAGCAGGTACACCATGTCAGCCCCTGCCCCCAGCAGCCAGCATCACCCTCCCACCACTTTACCTGGCGGTGTGCTAGCTGCCGTCGTGGCTGCACTCGAGTGCGTGGGGCTGCTGCTTTCCAACAAGAGGCAAGAGCTGCCACCGCTGCTCTTCTTCACGAAGGTCTCGGGGGCGCTGGGAAGGGGCACGGGGTGGCTGATGCCCAGCTCCTCTTCCTGAGCCTGCTGCCTCCTCAGCGCAACCTGTGGACAAGAGGACAGGCGTAGGGGCACGCTCTCTGGCTTCAGCACAATTTGTAATGGCAACAGTGAAAGACTCAAACACAACGCTGTTTTGTCCCCGTGGTAGGTACTCTCCACGTGTGGTGTCCAGGTTGCGGTCCAGCCAGTGGTTACAGAATATAAAGGAAGTTATAAAGCTATTCAAAACCAACCCCTTTTCTGCCCAAATGTATAGGAACAAACCTATGAAGTGCTGGTGCTATATCCATCTCCTTCCAACAAGGCCACATGAAGACATTAAAACTGACTGTTCGCCCCACACAGCTGCCCTTGGGCAAAGTATACCGTGAAACGCACGACCCTCCTCGCTGCGGATACACAGCTGCTGGGGATAAGAAATTCATCTGCTTGCCAGGCTCTGCTGTGTCTTCTTCATCAATGTCCAGCAGCTCTTTATGAGGGCTTGTACCTGCAATCTGCTGCTCTTTGCTGGGAATCCACCCCTTGGAGGGAGTTTCAGTGCACAGCACCCTGTGCTGGGAGAGCTAACGCGGCGGAAGCACAGCCAAGGTGGGGAACCATCCTGCGAGCACCTCATCCAGCATCACACACATTGCAGACAGCTGGCCAGACCTGGAGCAGGAGCTCCCCACTTCTTCCCCAACAGTGATGTTATTTCATGGCAAAGCCCACAGGCACTATGCAGTCTGGACCTGCTCTGGGCTAGATGACCTCCAGAGGTTCCTTCCAACCCCGTATCATTCTGTGATTCCGTGGACATGGATGCAAACAAACCCCATTCCCTGCTTCCTGGAGATAGAGAGGAGCTCTTCTGCTTCATCTGAACTGGCAGATCAATTTCACACAGCCACCTTCCCGAGCCAAACAGGGCATGCTGTCCAGCCAGTAAACACCATGCTGGGGGCTTTACGGCTACCTACCCTGAAATTTGGCAAGTGACTGATTTTGCATTTGATTCACCAGGCAGAGGATTACTGCCGTCCCCACTACAGTCTGCATACTACAATCTGTATTTGCACCTTGGAAACCCGTCCCAGATTACAGATGGGCATCATGGGCTTTTTCTTGCTGGGAATTCTCCTGGGTAACTTGGACAGGATTTCCCTCCGTTTACATGTTCAACAGCAACATTTTTCTAACATGGATGCGTAACGCCGTCAGAGAAAATAAGAACAGCTCCTGCAGCAGAGACATCCCAAACAGGGGGGTGCAGACTTGCAAACACCACAGGCAACTTCTGACTTCACAAGCCAGTAACCTTGACCTGCAAAATTCCACCAGCGCCAAGGGGCTTACTGCAGAAATATATCAAAAGGGGCAAAGACAGACTTTCAGTGTGTGACTCCTACACAGATAAGGCTCAGCCAGGGAGGCTTTCAAAACCACTTTCAAACGCTAGGCAGGGAAGAGAAACCCTCCCTCCCCCCCACCCAGGAGGGCCACCTCCAGGACCTGCTAGCAGGAGGCAACTACCACCTGACAGCAGCTGCAGGGCAGCAGCAGAACGGGCTGTGCAGAAGGGGACGCTTGTGCATGCAACACCCTGCTTCGTGCCACCTCCCCCGGGGCCCCGTCGCAAGGGGATCCACCTTTATTGATCCACGGCTCATTGATCCACGGCTCACGCTGGGCTGACAAAGTGCACGTTAACGTGGGCAGCTTCTGGGCTGCCGTGTCACCGACGAGGAGGAATTATTTAAATAAACCAACGCTTCCAGTGAGTTCAGAGTGCAGTTAGTATACCTGCACCGCATAATTAAATAAATAAATAAATAATTATTTAAAAAAATAAATAATAGAAGTGGGGAAGGATTTAATCCAGCGCTGCTCAGGCTTCTAAGATTTTGTCATTCACTTCATGCAGGGCCACCAAGCTCCAAGCACCAGCTGCCTGCAGACCGGGTCGGCAGGTCACCGCATTCACACTTGCACCCCAGCGCCTTCCAATTAATTTGTCTGCAAGGGACAGGAGAGCAGGGAACCCCACCCGCGGAGCTCAAGAAGCAGCCAGGGGCCGTTACCCTCCCAGGACTCCTCTTAACGAGGTGTTCAAGATAAGGATCACAAGGGCTAACCCAGCGGTCACGTACCGGGCTGTGACTTCGGCGGGATTACCTAACGAGAAAAGTTACTCCTAACCCACAACGGGATGCAGTTTGGGTTCTTAGCGAAGCTTACCGAGTCCTTGTTTATTTAAGATGACCCCGCTACACGGCTCTTTGCAGAGCCGCTCTATGCAAAAATCGGGAACAACGCCGTTAAAAAAAAAAAAGTGTTTTTCGAAATGCACTCAGATAATGCCAATTAGCATCGGGAAAAGTAGATATACCGAATCTGAAAACGCTAGTGGAAAATATTCTCACTAATCAGTTAGTTGGATGGCTTATTTATTGCCCAGTTTAAAACAAACAAACAAACAAACAAAAAACCCCAAACAAACCAACCCAAGAAACTCCCCAAAAAAAACCAAGTTGAAAAACCACAATCTGCCATGAACGTGAAGCGTTCCTCCCTGCAGCTTTTAACCCAGATCCGCGCACTCCCGGGGCTGCCAGCGCGTCCGGGACGGGCTCTGCCCGTTTTCCGACGGCGGTGCCTTCGGGCGGGCTGCCTGCCCGCCGCTTAAACCCTGCCCGCCGTCAGCGCACCTCCTATTTTTAGGCCAAAAAAAAAAAAAATTATATACGTATATGTAATTAACAGAGCGAAGTGTCTGATTAATTGAGGACGGCGGCGGCGCAGCTCCAGACCGGGGCGAGGCTCCCCCGGGGCCGCCCCGTCTCGCCGCCGCCCCGACCGCGGGGATCCGAGGGGCACCGAGCCCCTCCGGGGGCGGCGACGGGAGCCCTCCCGACGGACAGACGGACATTCCACCACCCCCCCAGCCCC